CTAGTTATTAAATTGCTAGTTATTAATCTGGTATCAAAAGAAAGTGTTATTTCTTTCAGCAGCAGTGTGGATAACTAGCGGTATGTTAATAAACACATAAGATCGGGTATATTTTATACGTATTAAATTTCGTTGCCAGTGGTTAGCCCAATTTATTTTCATATTTTATTTAGGCTCTTCGACTCTCTCAAGAACTTCCACGGTGGAATAGCGAAGTTTACCGGCTTGCAGGTGAGTTGCACCCTATTTGAGTATAATCAACCGTCAAGTATATTCTAGCAGAACTATCCAATATTCGTTGCCATTAACGACCCGGCAGTCCCGTTGCCCACCGGTTTCAACGACAGCAGAAGTTGTTCGGTGTTCGTTCACTCCGGACGTAAGAAAGTAAGGTGACTTGTCAGGAGTGTGTCTAGGATCGTACCCCCAGTGCTTGGTCATCGTTTCAGATCGACACAGACACGTTTGAGCTGCTGCAGCGTCAACTCCAGGTCGACTGTTTTCAGGCGTTCTGTGATGCCGACACTCCGCCAGACGCGTCTGCGACACGCTGTCGCAAAGCCGTCGACAGAACCATCTCCTTCGCCAGTACTAGCTTAGAAATCGGCAACAAGGTGTGTTGCTGACGATTTACGTCCAACAGTGAGTTTTTTCATGCTAGGAAAGGGGACTGCATTGAGACGGGTTTGAAATTTGCTAATACCAATGAAATTCGATCATTTCTCCGGATTTGCACGGCATATTTACACCTTCTCATCGTTTCTTGAGGCTCTGGGATCCTTTCATACAAACAGATGTTTCAGTCTATCCTACAGTCCACAGCGATGCAAACTGCTTGCTTCCATAGACATGTACATATTATGATAACCAGAAGTATCCAAAACTAGCCTCTGTTTAAAGCGGCATATGTTCTTCAGTGGACGTCACCCTTTTACCATTAAAGTTTACAGACACTAATTTATTTATTTTCAAAACACTGGTTGGGGTATTGACAGCGTATAAGCTTTCCGTGTAAAGTAAGAAATGTTTTTACTTACTTTACACTGATGCTACAGTGGTTTATGACCGATGGAAGTCTTTACATTGGGATATATTATAACATTGTACCGTCTTTTGCATATCGGTACAATTTAGCGGGTTACATCAGCATACTGTTTAAGCGCCTCGCAGGTCATAGAAAGCAAGGGTTGAACAAAAGTATGCATAACCCTCAGGTTCTGAAGTAGATTCTATCAGTGGGACCTTTCGATGCCTCCGTCATTGCATAATGATGCCTGATTTTAACAGTGTTATGTTTTCTTCTTGCATGTTTTCGCCTACAGATAGTGGCATTTCAGCGTCACCATCTCTGCTCAACCCGTTGAGATGCAGTTTGCTTTCTACGCGCTGTAGGCGCTTAAATATCATGGAGTCCTGACCTGCTTTTAAATGGTCTCTATAGGCTATTAGAAGCAAAAGGGTGGCGCAATATTACGGTACTTCGTAGTGCAAGATTTTCATTTGTCTCACACAAACCGCAGTATTGGTGTAAAGTGAGAAGTGAATTTTTCTCTTTTCACACTGTAAATCCAGTATCATTAATTTTAATATTATATTGACGATGGTATCGGAAGTTCCCATTGGTGGAGTCTCCCCAAAACATTGAGGCTTATATATTGGAGGTTACTTCTTTGAAATAATTTCTACTTCACACAGTGCGTTTTCGCGTGCAAAGGTAAGTGTAAAATTTACCGGCTTATTTGGAAAGTTCTCGTTAATCGTTGCTACCTGAAAATGTGGAAGATTATATTTTATCCACCAATTTATTGTGACATTTTTTCAAATTATTTTACGAGTTTAACTGTGATTCAGGGAGTTCAATCGGTTATTGAATCCGGCGTACGATCTGCTACAGTTTTACTTATCAAGTAGGCAACCCATCTTTGAGTAAATTCAAACATGGGTAGCTGCTTTCCTATTCAGTACATCAGGGTTGACTGTGTCGACAGGTGGCTTGCCTCCAAGATTCCGAATCATAGCGGATTGCGCCCCGGATTCAGCAGTGGTTGTGCACTTCATGAATCCAAATTAAACGATACGAATATTTATAAGAAATGAAAAAATTTAAATTAATATTTCTAAACTTTAATCGAAAACGTTTGCTTAGTTTCCCTTTAAAGCGACTTTTGAACAACATATACTACTTTGAAAAGTATTACGATGACTTTAACCTCGTTATTTTGTAAACGCAGAATTCCGTCAATATTTTGGATTATATGTGCCTGCGGTTAGATGTGTTTTAGCAGTGTTGAAACACATCAATACTCTAACTCCATGGAATCATTCCCTACATAAAATGTCTGTTTCTTTAACTTGCTTTTAGAACTATTTAAGCAGTGTAGCCGGTCCGCAGGAAAGGAATGAAACGTATTTGTGATTCGAAACATTCAGAGACTTGTAAATATCCTAATCTTATGGAAAAAATCTTCATAGATTTTTTTTGAGGACTAGCACGAATAGCAAATTTTACCATTATTTTGTTTGAATGAAATAAATTGTAACAGCAACAACAGTTAAATGATGTTTTTTGGTTGGAGCGATTAAATAATGTCACCAATGCTTAGTGTCGTTGCTCTCGTTCGTACCTTCTCGTGCCCTTTGACATCACAAGCTTCCGTATTTGATTTTACTGCATTCTCTCGTCTGATCCGAGGAGTCTTT